AACCCAATAACTTTTGCTTGACTAAAGTATATCTGCCCAAAAGGCATCTAATCTTGAGTAAGACAGGACTGTTCTCCATGATCTTCTTGAGACTATTCCCAAAACCTTGCACGTTTCTCTCAAAGAGCAGCACCAACTCTGGTACTGCTGCTGTATAGAGAACCTATGGTAAAGCATAAGAAGCCCCCATTTAGTAGAATTATATAGTAAAAACATAAGGGCAGCAAAGCTATTACTTACAAGCAGTAAACTGGGTTAAAGGAATGTATATCACTACTGTATTCATTTCTTACTGTTGGAGTAACAGAAAATTGCCTTATTTTTCAAAGGCGGTTACCTCTTTGAAGAATGGGCCTCAGGATTCCAATCAGGGTACCTGGTTTAAAAATAAAATAGTTAATGCAAAAAGTTAAACCTGCAAGCTGAACTACTCTAATATTCAATTTCACATCTATGTTCCCAACTTATTTTCACTTTAATAGGTTATGCAGATCAAGACCTGGGACAGCACCAACTTTATGTAAAGTGTTAAGCTCTAATCACAGAGAATAAATAAAGGATGACCCATACAGATAAAGCTTAAAAAAAAAAAAAAAAAAAAAAGACTGATATTCTGTACTATATGACTACTGTATAAATGTATACACAAGTAACAAATCCCTTACTGTTGACGTAACTGACGACAGCTCTCAAGGTGAGCAGGATTATTCTGATGCTGAATCCAATCCTGTTGGAGGAGGGGGAAAAAAATCCACAAAAGTTTGATTAATATGCTATGCCAAAATTTATCCAAATTAACATAAAGCAAGTTTTTCCATCACTGACAAAATTTTAGGCTATCAAAAGATTGATGTTTAGCTCCACACTCTCATCTGAAATTACATCTTATACTAAAAATAAAAAACACTAAAGATAACATTACATTTGTTAACCAAAATATAGACATACAAATAAAGTCTTTAGCAGGAGTTACATAGAAACAATGCACTGAATTAAACTAATCAGCAATTCATTTGCTTCAAAAGTGTCAGTGTCATTAGTTAACTCAAAAAACCTTTAACAGCCGGTTATGTGTAAGACTATCAGCTATCATCTAAAAAATTTGAGAGAATAGGTTGTTACTTACATTTAAAAAAATCTGATAAACTGAGAAACTATATTATTTTAGCAAACACCGACATGTAATTTTAAAATAATAGACAGCAAAGGCTGTCATACATCTTATGCCTCAAACCCAAAAACAGAATTTTAAAGCATTAATTCTTACTAATGCATTAAAGTATATGGTGAACCAAAAATCTTAAAATAAACTATTTTCTGTCAGCTATTTTACATAGAAAGGAAGCATTTTTATCATGCATTAACACAGACATTTTTTTTAATTTATATTTGGGAACCTTTGGCTGGAAATTAATAGCTGTGACACTATAGACAAAAGGACCTATGGAAGGCCCCATATCTGCAAACCCTTATGAGCTCAAAGTTAAGATCATACCCAAGTAGGCCAAATGAGACTTGTTAAAGTTTGCAAGACTGAGGTAACAGACATAACTACCCAATTTATACTAGCAAATTGACCTACCTTTTGCTGAAATTTATTAGCAACAAGGATCATTTTGCTAGTACAGGCAGTCCCCGACTTACTTAAGTCGGATCCGCACTTACGAACGGGGCTCTCTCGCCCCGGAGGTCGAGGTGGCGGATTGCTACCTGCGAGCTCCGGGGCGAGAAAG